AAAAAAAAAAAAAAAAAAAACAACAACAACAACAACAACAACAACTCTCCCCCATATGAGGAGAAGACAGCTGTAGTTCTTATTTTGAAAAACAAAAACAAAAAAAAAAGGGGGGGGAGGGGGAGGCGGGGGGAAAGGTGTAGCCCAAAGAAGGCCAGAGTAATGATAGTCAAGAAAGGGGGACATAATTTATCTCTTGTGCTTCATGTTGCTTGCTATAGAGGTAAAAGTTTAATGGGATATCTCTCCTAAGTACCCATATTCATGACGTGAAATGGAAGGCACAAAATCAAGTCTCTTGGGTTAGGCGCGAAGCCCACAAACTGTTTCATTGTTGGATTGGCTCATCTTCAGTGTGCTTCATTGTCTGCAATAAAGGCAAAGCTGTTTGGAGTTTGGCTGTTGTGGTTATAATCTACAACACACACAGGGTAACTCTGATTTTTTTTATTTCTTTTTTAAGGTTGTGTAGGTTGGACACGGTCTTCACTTGGAAGTCTGGCACAACTTCATAACTTGTTCTTTAAGCTTTGTTTAAAACAGAGTATCATGTGCTCACTGATGTTTTTCATTTCTGTGGAATATGGTTGGCCTGCTGTGTGATGTCCAACGATCATCCTTTTGATGCCGAACTCTCTCCAAAGGCCTGGCAACCACTCTTGCCCCTCAGGAACAGGAAGTTGGACTGTGTCTGCAAAACATACTCAATTGCGAAATGATCCCATCCGAGGTGTGTACAAGCCTACTACACGCATCATAGCCACGGCACACAATCTGACAAACCATCCAGTTGATATGTTTTGATAAAGGTCACCTGATGAATAGGTGTAATGTGTGTGTCTATTTCTTCCAACTTTCTGTTTTGATATTGTGACTCTTCTGAGCCTGTTGCCTGTTTTCATGAAGTGATGATCACTTACTTTGTTCTCGGAAAGTCTCATGACTCTCATCTATCTTTTTTTTTTCTTTTCTTTTCTTTTTTTTCTTTTTTTCTTTTTTTGTTGACCATGACTCGTCTGATCTTTTTAAATCTACTTCACAAGTTCAGACGTACTGTCAGGCCAAATTATACTGACAATGAAAGATGTTGGAAATTTGTGGATGATGTACCGACTCGTGTATTTCAGTTGGTAGTACTTGGTACACCCCTCAACTGTTGAAATAGAGACCTGAGTTCACAGTCCACTGGCGGCCGAGATGAGTGAAAATAAGTAAAATACTACAATTCTGAAAGCCCGAGGGGCGTTCAGTTCAATGATGATATCTGAAGGTCGTCACCCTTTTCAAGGAAAAAAAGGAAAAAAGGAAAAAAGGAAATCTGTGGATGGAAACTTAAATGCAGAAAATACTAAAATGAAACGGTTTTCACCTTTGCAGAAGCATATGCAGATCCCAGGGTTCGATCCCTAGACCTTACCTACACCCGTGCACAGTATCGAGTAGACCCCTGTGTGTTTTGAGCCCGCGACCTCTGTTTTGGTAGTTGACTGTTGTCTGTTGTAGGACTGTGCAGCTGTAGGGGTTCGATCTGTCGGTCTGTCGAGTAGGGGTCATAGTTGTAAATTGACCGTAGCTGTAGTAATTCTGAAAGGTCAAGGTCGTAGCTGCTACAGTCCTGAAAGGTCAAGGCCGTAGCTGCTACAGTCCCGAAAGGCCAAGTCCACAGACTTCCGGAAGGTCTGGAAGTGGCCTTTCGAGTTTTCTTCTCACGTTTCTCACAGCAGGCCAGAGGCAAGTGGGCAAGTGGTGAGTCCAACCCTGCTTAGTCAGCGGTACCCAGTCCCAGTCTCACTTCATCCAGTCATCAAGTATCATGTGGGACTGTGTGCACCATGGGCCCGGTGGAAAGGGCAGACCAGCGACTTACAGAAGTATAAATCAAGAGGCAGCGTCCAGTCATTCATTCATTCCTGCGTGAGCCATGCGGAAGGGCGGATGAGGGAGGAGGTGGAGGGAACGGGACGATGGTGGAGGTTGAAGGGTTGATGGATACCATGAATCCCATGAATGGTATCCCCGCTCCCGTTCCCTCCACCCTTCAACCCTTCAACCATTCATTAAAGAATACCATGAATCCCCGCTCCCGTTCCCTCCACCTCCTCCCTCCTCCACAGACTTCCGGAAGGTCTAGGATATGGGCGGTCGACGAACTGGAGCGGGGATTCATGGTATTCTTTTAGGTACTCGACATGGAAGACTGGGTGGACAGTGTTCAGGTGGAGGGAGGAGTGGGAGTAGAAGGGCCGGGTCCCGTGGAGCGAGGGGCCTGTCAAGTAAAGTGGCTAGCGTTGGGGCAGTTGGTCTGTTGATGACCTAACTGGCGGCAACGAAAACACCCGTTGTGTTCCTGGAGGTATATGCGTTCTGCGGGTGTGAGTTTTTGGAGGCGGCGGGGTGGAGAGGAAGAAGACGGTCGAGAGGCACGATCCTGGCGTTCCATCCGTATAAGGTGGGTGGAGGAGTCGATCGTGGTGAAGCATGCGAGAGAGGAGGTCAGCAAGGGGCATGTCGGGTTCGTGGGCGAGGGCGGTGGCAAGATCTTTGTGGCATACTCGCTTGATGCGGGAGATGAACGCAAAGTCGGGAATGACGGTGGTGGGGAGGTGATGGCGGAGGGAGCAGATGTATTGGACGAAGCGGTCTGTGGGACCGGTTTGGCGGAGGTGGCAGAATTGTTCGAGGTAGTCGTCAATGGTTTTCT